TATTTTAAGGAATTTTATTCTCAGTATCACCTTCCACTTTGCCATTGTGTCATGGAAAATAAATACTGGGAATTGGGCATTAATATAGGAAATATTCTCGTTAACAGTATGTCATAACTCCCGTATAGCAACGTATATATCAAGTTCCACATCAACTACTTCTTGTGCACTCCCTGTTTCCTTCAACGTTTTGGTCGCAGGCTAAAAAGGCACCTCAGAAAAACGTCACCAACTTCTCTGGCGAAAAACGGAACTGCATTTGGCAGAAAAATGCACCTCTATTTTTAATAATGATAAGAATGATTTTTGTGGTAATATATATGGTTTATTTACATGGTCACAGTTATCACATGATACAGCATGTTGTTTTTTTCTAACCATGATATCACTCCAAAATGTATTATTTGATTGTCTATCATATCATAACCTTCGTGAGGTGGTGACATGTTTAATAACAGAGTAAATGTTCGGTTAACTACATGCAGAAGGTGTTATATAGATCAGTAGCAGACCCACAGCCTAATCCCAGGGTGAGCTAATTATTACCTTCTAAGATTCCTCTTTTGTTTGTGTCTTTATTTGGGTATACATACTGACAGTATGGTAGAATGGACAGAATGTCACACTATGAAGTTATCACCATGTAGCAGGGCGTGGAGTCATCCCACAGATGACATTCTTACCTTGTAGGTAAAGTGCACTGTAGGCGATAGTAGACGCCACCACCTGTTCTGTTCTAATGATTACTGAACAAACTAATTATACCATTCTTAACAAACATATCAAGATGTCATCATGACACAATAGTTCAGCAATTGCCTAATTTTAAATATTGTTGTGTATGAAGTAGTTACAAGAAACAATTAACTTATCACTTTTTTCAGACTAAGAAATAAAGGCCCGGTTCCACCATGCACTTTGCATTACTTGTTTTAGTTACATTGCATGTCAGTTCTAATAATATTGAACTTACAAACTGGTGGGAATTGAAGTAAATGATGTACTGACAGTAATCATTACAAGGCCTTATAAAATGGAAAGGAGCATATTTTATCCTGGACCTACAAATCCTATCCTACAATAATGGCCAAGACATTAGACATAAAATGTAAGTAGAACTTGTAATCATAACTACCTAATCAAATTAACTTTGAGCTAAATATAGAGTAAAGAAAGTAACATATACATATCATTGTATGACTTGATAGTGTTGGTACTTACTTCTGCCATTGGTTGGAATGTACTGGACTGTGTCCGTTTCCTCAAATCATCTGATATTCTGACAGGTATTCAGGAAACTCATCTGCAAACAAATGATACTACATGAAACTACTTCAAACTAGTATGAAACTAGTTTGCCTAAATTGTTGACAATTGTTGAATACGGGGTGTGTGCTTTGTGTTTTTTGCCCAGACCCAGGGAGAACACTTGTAATGTGATCCCCATTTATCAGTGCCTGGGGTCCCCAGCCTTCCATTGTCTGGCAGTACCTCTCTTCTGTGTGGAAATATCAGTATGAAGCATACAAGTCTTATGAATATTGGTTTTTACACAACTGTTCATTTATAAATAGAAAACACTCTGTTCAGTAAACTTAATACAATCTTGATGTACCAAGATAAGTTATATCAAACTAGAAATGATGCAGTTGTTTAATTTACCCCTGCTATCCATTATCATATAATTATGTGTGACTACATTTTGACTGTTAGTGTAATACTGACTCTTATGACATAATGACATGCATAAATGATAAAATGTATAAACTGTATAGTGAGTAAGGATAAGAATTTTTGGATGAACAACTTCTTTATTACAATAAGGAGCGATGTATCAGTGTAGGTTCTAACACCGTTATCAATCAAGTGATATCACTTGCTGGATACAACAACAAAAAGTAAAGAAAGTACCCCTTCATCCACAGATCATACCGAAAAGAAATTTGGGCTAGTATTTGAACAGTTTCATTTTCATTACTAATTTTTTACAATAAAAGACAATTATTTCTCTACATAATGTGACCCCCTAAATAGTTCTACAAATCCTTCAAAGAGAAACAATTTGAAATATTGATACTTTCATATTTTTTTCACAAATGAAGAATACAGGTCCAAATTGAGAAACAGAATTTTATTTCTATCCCATGAACATGGTGCTGCAAATACTCAGGTTTGGAGGTCCTTTCTTTAAGACTTTCAAAATATGTATTATTACCAAAACAAGAATTATGTGATATGAGGAAGTTAGTATCATACATGGCAATTATCACTGCTAATTACCCGAGATATGTCAATCTTTAAAAAGTTATGCTGAAACGTATGTGCCAAAAGCAATGATATTACTAACCTGCAATGTTTAACTGTCATCAGAACAGATAATTGTAGCGCCAATCAAACAGAGAAATATAACAAGGAGATAAGATTCAATGTTACACATATGGATTGTTGATTCAGAGTAGTACCTGGCACAGTTGAAACGTCATTCACATTCCATAAACATTCATTCATTCATTTATATTCTGGGATATAACGTGCCCTTTCCGCATGTAATAAATTACATTTAGCCTATCTCGCACACAGGGAAGCACTTATACTAAACAGGGGGGAAAAAAAGCGTAATGAATAAATAAGAAGTGCGACTCCAAAAAATGTAAATTAGGTAAACCTAAAATGATAATCTAGGGGGGTGGGTTTTGGCTGGGTTGGAGGGGGTGATAAAAGAATAATAATTATATTGAAAAAGTTGGGCTTGGGTGGGGGTGGGGGTGGGGGTAAGGCGTGGGAAGGCATGATGTCGGCTTGCGAACTGGTGTGGTGGTGGAAGCTGGAGCTTACTGTTTCACCCCAGCCAGGAGCCTCCTGGCTAGGTCAAGCTCCCCTGGAGGGAGAGCTTGGAACAGTGCGGTGGTGAGGCGGGCGGCGGCTTTGGTGATGAAGATGGGGCTGACTTGAAGATCGCAGTCGACCAGGAAATCCGACAGATCCTGGTAGCTGTGGATTTCATGTTCAAATCTCTCTTTTCCCCAGTACTGCACCAGCACCATGGGTGGGCGTGGCCGGTTGCTGGGGTATACCTTGCCGCTCTCATGCTGGTAGCAGGGGTTAGGGTGGGCCTTGTGCTGCTCCAGGATGAGGTCTGCCTGCTGGGCAAGGTCGACACGGACGTCTTCCTCAACAACTGGTTCAGGAACCGGGTCGGTTTGGACTTGGCTGGTGTTGAAGGAGGGGCCTTGTGTTAAGGAGGTTTGTGTTTCCATGGTCTTGCTTGTAGGTGGTGATGGGAGGGGGGGAGAGTCAGGGGAGAAGATACTTTTCCTCTTTCTCTTCTTCCTTCCGTGTCCTGTCCCTACAGGCGTGCGAAAGGGCTCCTCCCCTCTGGATTCGAGGGGAGCGAGTTCCAGTGCTGCTGTTGGGGGCGGAGGAGTGGTGGGTAGGCTTTCCTGGATCTCCATGGTGGCGACTGGTGGAGCCTTCTTCACTTTGGGCGGCCTGGCCTTCTGTACCGGGCGTGGTGCAGCAGGGATAGGGGCCGGGGTGGTTTTCTCCTTAGTTTTGGTCTTGGCCGGAGCTTTGACCAGATGCCTTTTCCTTTGACCTAAGTAAAAGGTGGAGGAGTTGGACTTGTAGGAAGTCCTGAGGGAGTAGTCCCCAACCCTGAAAGCCAGCAAGGGCTCCAGGATGGCAACTAGCTCCCTCGGTAGCGACAGAGCGATGTCTGTCATAGTTGAGCGTGGGTAGCGAGCTTGGAAGGACACGTCTGCACGGGGCGAGTGTCCAAGCAACCACAACCACATACAACAATCTTATATTCCAAGCTACTAACTTCAGGAAGCAATGGTCATTGGCCTTTTCAATGTAACGAGCCAGCAACCAACATGCCAGTTCTCTGTATTAATGAGATCAAAAGCATGTTGTGTATTGAATGAAAGAACACATTGCCCCTATGTCAGAGCACCATACAAACATAAAGGGGTGGAAATATACAGGTATCTGTGTGAGAAGGAGGTAGAGGACCTTAATTATCAACCTCAGGTATGGGTAATTTATAATGGGATTGAGGTTAGGACCATATTTAGACGAGACCCTCCCCCCCAACCCCCCATCTTCACCCTACACTTTATGTGGATTTATTATGTCCCCAATATATACAGATTGCAATTTCATTGACACTTATAACTTATAACAAATGAAATATTTAACCTTTTTATTCATAATAATACAGAACCATGTCATTTATGTTGTACCCACTCTCCCAAATATACTTGTGATAAATTTTGGTGACCCCCTACATGTTGTCATTAATACACCCCTCCCCCACCCCATCCTTTATTTGCTGTGTAATTTCTTCATGATCACCCCCCTATAAATATATAAATTACCAGTCCTATTGATATTCTACAATATTCTGCAATGGCGTGCAAGATATGAAGTCGTGTTTTTAATTACATTTTTAAATCTAAATATATTTGAACCAAGTCTGTCAGGATTTGACAAAATAGGTAAATAGTGAAAAGGAAGTAACACTTTCATGTGTCATATTCACAAATGCATTTATAATGGCATTTATTTATTTTTCACATGTAAAGTTTATTTCTATTTCTACATTTACCCTGTAGTTTTGAATATAAGAATTTAGAGAAACCAAATGAAATAAGGCATAACATATTCATGTAAAGATAAAAAGATACTTTCCACAATAATTAACAGGAAAAACTTATTTCATAATTTCTAGTTCTGAGTGAGTAGTTAGTATGTGAGGTGAGGTGAAATTGGGTTTAACGTCGCGTCCAAGATTATTGCACTTATATAGCGACGTGCATGCACGTGTGTGTGGCTGCTTGTACTAGTCTGGACTGATGTCGATTTATATAGTGCTAGCTCACTGAGATATCATGCTGCAGTTTAACATGAATACCCCACTCAGACACAGTATACTGACTCCGAAAGACTTAAGACTTTCAGCAGGTTTAAGGGCTCCTACAGCTGCCCTTAAACCTGCTGAAGGTCTTAAGTCTACACAAGTCCTTTAAAAAAAGATAGAGAGAAAAAGAAGGTGGATTTGATTTTTGACCAGTTTCCTAGGGTGCCTTGGGCTGTTTGAAGCTCACCTGGCAAGCTGGCAGAACCTCTGAGGTGCACACTGACTGTCGCCTTGACGCGCCGAGGAAGCCGCCCATTTTTTCTGAAATGGGAGAGAGAGTGAATGAAATTTTTCAGTCTAGATGGGGTTTTGCATGGCCAAAGGGATCTGGAGGGGCCTATGCAACAGTCCATGACTGCCTGTCGGGTCCAGGAAGGGGCCACCCCATCATTGTAGACTTAAGACTTTCAGCAGGTTTAAGGGCTCCTATAGCTGCCCTTAAACCTGCTGAAGGTCTTAAGTCTTCACAAATCCTTTAAAAAAAGACAGAGAGAAAAAGAAGGTGGATTTGATTTTTGACCAGTTCCATGGGGTGCCTTGGGCTGTTTGAAGCTCACCTGGTAAGCTGGCAGAACCTCTGAGATGCACACTGACGCCCATTTTTTCTGAAATGGGAGAGAGAGTGAATGATATTTTTCAGTCTAGATGGGGTTGTGCATCATCAAGGTCAATGGATCAGGAGGGGCCTATGCAACAGCTCATGACTGCCTGGGGGGGTCCAGGAATGGGCCACCCCATCATTGTAGACTTTAGACCTTCTGTAGTTTTAAGGGTTTCCGTTGATGCGCCAAGGAAGCCACCAGTTTTTGCTGAAATGGGAGAGAGAGTGAATGTCATAATAACAACTCAGATGAAAAAGTTGCACCTTTACAAAAAATAGTAGTCTTGACTGGGACTAAACTTATGGCAAAGCATTTCAAGTTACTTGAGACTTAGAAAGTTCCAGTAAAGACTTCTGCAATGATTTAATACCAACAAATCTGTTTTTATTACTTATGAAAATGTCAGATCATGATCAATGCGGTTATGTCTTGCTAGAGAAGAAACTGTTTTACCTGGGTTTTTTTAATTTCATGTCATTCATACTTTTCGACAGATCTTCCATCTTGAGCATGTGCTCATATCTAATTAGATCCAATTAGATGCTCAGCTTGTATTATCTGGAATAATGGAAAATATCATCACTGACCATGTATTTTATCTCATTTTTTTATTTGCCAAATGGTAATTCATAGATGTATATTTGAATTTGAAAAATAAATTCCAAACAGATTTTATACAAATAGGGCATCATATCATATATTGTTTGGAGATTAAAGTTGTGTCACTTTAATACATGGAATTATATTTCATACTTTTTACTTTATTTTCGTTATATATTGAGGACCGCAGTTAAGCAGTACAGAATTAATGAAAGTGTCTCAGAATCTGTTCATATGGTTTTTTTTATCCAGAAAGAAGATTGCACATTCCTGAACCTCTGTCTCTCAGACACGTTAGAATAAATGGAGAAAGGGAGCCAACTCAAGTCTAGAATGATTTGGCAAGTCCTAATTGCCTGGGCCCTGGGTCTGATTAATAAACATTGTTCCAGGCACCATTTGGATTTTATTTTATATATTTATATTACAAGCATGATAACTCTTTTTCTTGGACACCATGTGAATCTACTCCCTGGAATCTTATCAGGGTTTCTAAAATAAATAATATATAGTTGCATCTTGTAGTTGACCAACTTTTGCCACACGCAGTGATTGCTTTGCTCTGGAATATAACAAGTAGAGAAAGATGTAGTGTATAAGTATGGAGCTTGATGACAAAAGGTTTTTACTGTGTTGGGTATGCAAGTAATAGCAAAGACATGTCAATGTTTCGATCAGGGCTGATGTGCACCACTGGATGTTTCGGAGATAGGCGAGTTGGGTTGACTCTGCATTTCTCGGAACTTTCGATCTGTCCGAAGTCGAGGATCGCAAATACAGTACAGCACAATATTCAAAGACACATAAACTACATCTTATATACCTGATGTGCAGATTGTGAGTGAAACATCGTATCGCGCAATAACAGCCGAGACAGCGATGCGTTCGTTAGACATCAACAGCTTTGCGGAAGATAGTGTCACGTGCATACACAAGCCACGCCCACTCATGAATATTGTAGACTTCCGACCATTGTAGGTTTAAGGGCACAACACACGTATCGTATTGTCGGCTAGCACAACACAAGCAGTAGTGACTTCCTCACTCCCATGTGCGGAGTTCTTGAGGAGGGGGGCTGACCTATTCTGCCGGAGATCACGCCACTTGTTGCGCCCCTTCTTGAAACCAGAAAGGTTACTATACAGAACACGTATAACAATCACCCGACCGACCAGTTCGAGCCTTGCTCTCAGATATACAGTGACGGTATCTTGTTAGGTTTTGTTTCAATAACTGGGCGTTTTATTCCAGGGCACATTTCCTTTCTTGCGAACACTGATGCAATGAATGACTCGAATTGCACAAGGCACCAGTTCAACGCATGCACGATGTGTGTACAAAGTTTCATAAACAAATATCCCACGGTTATTGAGTCTCATAGTCTCTGAACAGTATTATAACCCCTTCCGGCCCACCCTTGCTGTAATGCTATAGCCCTAAATGAAGCAAGTCTAGATTTTCCACAGGTGATCTCCCATTTCACTGGGACCTCCCTTCAAGCTAAATGATAATTATATATTTTCAGAATCCAAGCGTTAGTATATATTGTCTCTGGTTTATGAGTTATGTTTGAGAAAGAGACATGAACAGATCTACGGAGCCCGTTTTTATATTCCCCGCAAAACCTAATATGATAATTGATAAAATCATGCGAATTCTTTGTAAGGACAAAACACAAACACGTCATAAGAGCGTCTGAACAGGTCAGGTGCAGTATGTGGTGGTTTTAGTGAAATTACATTTAGTACAAAGGCACACCAATGACCATCACTTACACGTATCGAAGATATAAAGTTAGACACATTCTAGATGTCAGTTTCTCATAGTTTGGTCGCACATCTATATACCAAGAAAAACAGAGGTCAGTTGGCGCCGCAATGTGACCCGTCCGTCCGTCATGGCCGGGTCCACCTGTCATGTCAGTTGACGCCGCAATGTGACCCGTCCGTCCGTCCGTCTTGGCCGGGTCCGCCTGTCATGTCAGTTGACGCCGCAATGTGACCCGTCCGTCCGTCATGGCCGGGTCCGCCTGTCATGTCAGTTGGCGCAGCAATGTGACCCGTCCGTCCGTCGTGGCCGGGTCCGCCTGTCATGTCAGTTGGCGCAGCAATGTGACCCGTCCGTCCGTCGTGGCCGGGTCCGCCTGTCATGTCAGTTGACGCCGCAATGTGACCCGTCCGTCCGTCATGGCCGGGTCCGCCTGTCATGTCAGTTGACGCCGCAATGTGACCCGTCCGTCCGTCATGGCCGGGTCCGCCTGTCATGTCAGTTGACGCCGCAATGTGACCCGTCCGTCCGTCATGGCCGGGTCCGCCTGTCATGTCAGTTGACGCCGCAATGTGACCCGTCCGTCCGTCATGGCCGGGTCCGCCTGTCATGTCAGTTGACGCCGCAATGTGACCTGTCCGTCCGTCGTGACCGGGTCCGCCTGTCATGTCAGTTGACGCCGCAATGTGACCCGTCCGTCCGTCGTGACCGGGTCCGCCTGTCATGCCAGTTGACGCCGCAATGTGACCCGTCCGTCCGTCCGTCATGGCCTGGTCCGCCTGTCATGTCAGTTGACGCCGCAATGTGACCTGTCCGTCCGTCGTGACCGGGTCCGCCTGTCATGTCAGTTGACGCCGCAATGTGACCCGTCCGTCCGTCGTGACCGGGTCCGCCTGTCATGCCAGTTGACGCCGCAATGTGACCCGTCCGTCCGTCCGTCATGGCCTGGTCCGCCTGTCATGTCAGTTGACGCCGCAATGTGACCCATCCGTCCGTCGTGGCCGGGTCCGCCTGTCCTGGGTTCGGTGCTCAGATTCGTGTGTAAACATAAGCGACAAATCCTAATCCTAAGAATACATAATAATATACTCAACAACAAAAGTTCCTGTGACACCAATATTTTAGTGTATTTTTCAAAGAAGTAAAGTTTGGTTTTCAGTATTGTAGTACATGTATGGAATCAAGTCACAAAAACGCAACGGCTACAGAAAAGCATGCATTCCGTGCAAAAGTTGACTTTTATGCAAGCCTCATGCATTTCAATACCCAAGAATGGGTATAAAAACATGTGCGTTAACAGGATTCCATATGCATTGTTTAGCATCGTGCTAACAACAACCACTCAGGAAAACAACAAAATTACGCAATTATTCAACATTTCGAAATGCCATGCCTGTCCGAAAATGAGCGTCTGCGAGCCATTGTTATGCTTTAAGCAGGATCGAGTCAACGTGATGTTGCAAGACAATTTAACACCCACAGAAACACCATTTGGTGTTTATGGCAACGTTGGCAACAGACGAATGCAGTTAGAGACCATCCTCGGAGTGGCAGGCCACACGTAACCAATAATCGACAAGACAACTGGATTCGAACAACACTCCTACGAAATCGATTCCAGCCAGCAACAGTGACTGCAAGAAGCATCCCTGGCCTTCGACGAATATCTTCACAAACCGTATACGTCGTCGCTTCAGGTGTGCAGGGATTGTCGCCAGAAGACCCGCCAGACGTCCCATTTTGACAGGAACCCACCTTCAAGTACGTCTACAGTGGTGCAGACAGCGTCTACGCTGGACGGCCATGCAAGTTCTATTCACTGACGAGTCACGTTTTCATCTCAGCCACAGCGATGGACGATTCGAGTGTACCGACGTCGAGGTGAACGTTACGTCAATCATTGTGTCATGGAAGAAGATCGGTTCGGGGTCGGCAGCGTTATGGTATGGGGGTGAGATTACAGCAAGACAGTGGGCCCGTTTGATAGTGGTAGAGGGAAATCTCAATGGACAGCGCTACCGCGACGAGATCATCGGCCTTGTTGGTCTACCGTATTTGCGTCGTCATGGCCCAAGCATTACCTTTCAACATGACAATGCCCGGCCTCACATTGCTCGACTTGTTCAGGATTCCCTTCAACAAAACAACGTGAATGTCATCCCCTGGCCGGCTCGCTCCCCTGATCTCTCACCAATCGAGCACATGTGGGATGAGATGGATCGGCGCCATCGACGTCAACCACATGTTCCACAGACACTCCAGGAACTTCGAAACATGTTCCAGCAGATATGGACAGATATCCTACGGGACTTTGTGCGACGCCTGGTCCATTCCATGAGACGAAGATGTATTGCTTGCATTGCAACCTGAGGTGGACACACACGCTATTGATTTGTGAATTGTCATTTTTTACATGCTCATGTTTTTTTTTATTATGAAATCGCGCATTTTCTGAAGTCAGTATGGCAAATGAAACCATTTTAACACTCACAGGAGTCTTTTATCTGTTGCAAACCGAAATTGTTTCAGATTTGGTAAAAATACATAACTTTGCATTTAATCTTATTCAATGTCACAGGAACTTTTGTTGTTCAGTATATTATCATATACATATGACTTTCGTCGATGCGGGTTTTCCATCCCAGAAGTGGTGTCAATACCCAGCTTGCTCACACACTCACCGTGGATTGATGTTAAAACCAGCTTTGAAAATAATTATATAATACTATACCAGTTGTTGTCCTGTTCTTTGTTGACGATATGTACCTCCCTCAGAGAGTCTGGGTTCCAATCCCTGGATGGGACTCAGCCCAAAAAATTATTTGAAGTTGTACTTTACTAAGAAAGTGTTGTCCCCTATAAAACATGTGTTACATTGATAGCAACGTTGGGAGAGACAGTTCGGAGTAGTTGCCATTGATAGGAAGGGCCGGAAGTCCAACAAACCATAACCATAAACGTTAATCTTAACGACTGACTGATTTAATTTGAACAATGTGTCTATGTGTCTATGTGTTTGTGTCTAGATCTCGAATAAACGAGTTGTGGTGTTACGATATTTCGGTATTCTGATGGTGGTCGTTATGTTGTGCGTGTCACGTCAACCGCGACGTCGCTGAACATCGTATTTCAGCGAATCAGTGAATAAACTAGTGAGGGTTGTATTCTCGATTACCGCCAGTCTCGTTTTTACCTCATAAAAACACAATAGACAAACGTTATAGCATTACAAATTTTGAAGGAGGTATTTAAATGTCGTGCTGTCTACGTAAAGCTCTCTACAATAATACACCGCAAGATAAATTGTTTCTAGACACTCAACCCCCCCCCCCCCCTTGTCCTGACCGTGTAAAGCTCTCTACAATACAAGGAAGTAAGACAGCGGTATTCTACCGGAATGTAAAAACATATCATGGGAGGTAGAAAACGGTAAAGCAGAGTCACGTTGTTTACCTCATATCATAGATACCCAGCGGGCAAGCAATGAATAAAATGTTTTGAAGGAAGTCTGTTAATGTCGTACTATCTATGTAAAGCTCTTTACAATACAAGACCGTAAGACAAATGTATTTAGGCACTCAAAAAAAAGAAAAAAGAATCACATGTCTCGTCTATGTAAAGCTCTCCACAATACAAGACTGTAAGGCAGTGATATTCTACCAAACAATATCTATAAAAAAACATTGCGTCGTGCTGCCAATGTAAAGCTCTCCACAATACAAGACTGTAAGGCAGTGATATTCTACCAAACAATATCTATAAAAAAACATCGCGTGTGCTGCCAATGTAAAGCTCTCCACAATACAAGACTGTAAGGCAGTGATATTCTACCAAACAATATCTATAAAAAAACTTCGCGTCGTGCTGTCATGTAAAGCTCTCCACAATACAAGACTGTAAGGCAGTGATATTCTACCAAACATTATCTATAAAAAAACATCGCCTCGTGCTGCCTATGTAAAGCTCTCCACAATACAAGACTGTAAGGCAGTGATATTCTACCAAACAATATCTATTAAAAAAACATCGCGTCGTGCTGCCTATGTAAAGCTCTCTACAATACAAGACTGTAAGGCAGTGATACTCTACCAAACAATATCTTTAAAAAAACATCGCGTCGTGCTGCCTATGTAAAGCTCTCCACAGTACTCGTCTGCACGAAGGCGATATTCTACAAATAATGGCTGAACCACCCCAAACATAACCCACGAGGTAAACAACGGCAACACTTTTAAAACATTAGATATCACATTACAAAATATTTATTCACAAGTCGTCCTCTTACATATACATCGTGAATAAACAATACATTATTGAACAATTATATCTATACTAAGAGCACGCAACACTATATCAACCACAAGAAACCCTGGGGTACTATTTATC